TATTTTCTTGAAAAAAAGATCTTCTTCGTACAATTTTATCTCATACTGGAGCTTTGTTGGAAAAAATTATAACGCAATCCAAAAAAGGAAACAAAATGGTCGTAAAGGTGGTTGCAACCAGTGGTTGCAATCATTTTTATATGACACAAAGGTGGTAGCAACCATCATCAAAAGTTGCAGCCGATATCCTTACCAACAATCATCCTCCTCTAAAAAACGTGTATACATTACTGCAGAACAAAAACGCGAATTATGTAAATTAAAAAAAAATAAACCCGAACCAAAAAATATTGAACTAGCAAGCCAGTTTGGAATTAGTACAAGTCAAGTTAGTAATATATTAAAAGATTCTGAAAAATGGCTTAAAATTGATCCAGACTCCTATCAAGCAAAATTAAAAAGACCATCTATTGTCCAATTTGCTAACATTGAAGAAGCTCTAATTTTGTGGATTGAAAAGGCCCTTGAATGTAATTTGACAATTACAGATCTTATTATTAAACAGAAGAGTATAAGATTTGCAGAATTATTAAATATTCAAGATTTTAATGGTTCCTCTGGTTGGTTAAGTAATTTCAAACAAAGATATTCAATCTGTGAATATTCTAAACATGGTGAAGCACAAAGTGCACCAATTGAACAACTTCCTGAAATGAGAAGAGATTTGCAGAATATCCTTAGAGAATACCAATTAGATAATATTTTCAATTGTGACAAAACTGGCCTTTTTTGGAAAATGGAGCCATCACGTGGATTATCAACTGGACCACTGTTGGGGGTCAAACAAGACAAAAATAGAGTAATGGTTTTGCTTACATGCAATGCATCTGGGACAGAAAAATTGGTGCCTTTGTTCATACATAAATATCAAACTCCACGGCCTTTAAGAGGAATTGATAAAAAAACATTACCAGTAGATTATTATTGGAATAGTAAAGCTTGGATGCAAGTATCAATCTGGAACAATTATATTAAAAAATTAGACAAAAGAATGAAAGCTGAAAAAAGAAATATAATATTGCTTGTTGACAATGCACCAACACATAGTTTGACCGAAGATTTACAATTAACAAACATAAAGGTTCATCATTTTCCACCAAATGTAACTGCACACCTGCAGCCATGTGATGCAGGAATAATCCACAGCTTCAAGGTTAGTTAATTCAATTATCTAATTTAAATTTAATCTAAATTATTTATCTTATACAAATACTAATGCTTGTATTATATTACAGTCACATTACAGAAAATTAATGCTTGAAAAAAAAATAAAAAATAATGATTCACATATTTCATACCTCAATCTTACTACATCTTCTAATTCTGTTGCATCTTCATCAAAACCCATTGATATAAAAAAAGCAATAAAGTATGTTGCTAAAGCTTGGGATAATGTAACACCAACTACCATTATTAATTGTTGGAAGAAAACTGGGATTCTCTCTTTGGAAGAAGCATCAACTAATTATGAAATTGAAAATTCAACAAATATAGTTAGAGATTTCAAATAGAGAAATAAGTGATGTTAATTGTTTAATCAACCAATTATCATTTACCGCACCATTAGAAGCAGAAGAATATATTACCATTGATGATTTTCAAATAAATAATATGGTAACAGAAGAAGAAATAATTGCTTCTTTCAATCCAGCAGAAGAAGAAGTTGTTGTTGAGAATAACAGTATACCTAAAGTTTCAATGAAAGATGCAGTAAATGCTTTTGAGGTTGCTTTTAATTACCTTCAACAAGGTGATCTAGAAGTAGATTATAAAGAATTTAAAGCTTTTAAATCATTGAAAAGAAAAGTGACATTATTAAATAATGAAAAATTAATACAACCAAATATTATAAATTATTTTAACAAATAGATTTTGCTTTCCATATGTATTATTCATATTATTCATTTATTATTATTTATTGTTTGTTATTATTTATTTTTAATAAAAAATATTATAAAAATTTTTTTGCAGATCATCAAATTTGCCATAGCAGATTTCTCGTCACAGCGGATTTTTTTGGCTGGTACCATAAATCCGCTGTGATGAGGTTAGACTGTATACATATGTAAATGATGATTAGAACAATAAACAACAATAATGATTATAGTGATGTTATTAAATATTAGTTAAAATAAAAGAGAAATTTATATAACTATTGAATGATTGATAAAACCTTTGCTAGTATATTTTGTTCATAGATCTTGCTTGTCCTTAAAGCTTATTTTGATTACTCCTACACAAACAAACTATTAAATAATTGATAGAATATTTTGCAAATTGCATATTTCTTTGATTAATGCAATAGTCTATTTATTATATTTAAAATAAATGAACTTGGCTGTTCTTTGTATGTTTTTTAATAATAAAGACAATTCTCTTCCCATTCATCTGGAAAATTCACATGACAAAAGATCTGCAATACAAGGGAAATTTTTTCAAATTTTTATTTTGTTTCAATTTGTCTATTTTTGATATTAACTTTTTTGTGTGCAACGCGTCATTTTAGGGCTAAACATAGTAAATTCAGTAAACTTGTGCAACTTTGAAGCTCAAATTCTCCACAACAACATGACATATTAATATAGAAAAGCAGCCTCAGGGAAATGTCATATGACTAGTATAGAGAATTTTGTCAATCATCACATGATTATAAGTTAACAAATAAAAAAAAATTTATTATTAGCTTCACCTTGTTTTGTATACTGTTTGATATTATTATGTCTTTGCTTGAATTTTGTTAACCATCCTTCTGATTCTTTGAAGTCATTAATATCAAGAAGTTGGGCAAAGTGTATTGCCTTTTCTTTCAATATATCACCAATAATGTCTAACTCTGCACCAATAGCTTTCTCTGTCCAAATAGTTAATGCTTGATCAACTTCTTCATATATCAAGCTTCTCCTTTTTTTCTTGGTAGCATCAGAGGATTCTGGGTTAATGGAAAGCCACTTATCTTTTTCATTTAAAATATCACTAATTGTACTTGTACTAATATCAAAAGCTGTTGCTAATTCTTTATTTGTTGGGATTGGAGTTTTTTGTTTTGCCAAACAAATATCTCTTTTTATCAAAGCTGTTAAAGATTTTCTCTTATTTAATGACATTTTAAATAAATAATAAAACAGAATAGATAATAAATGAATCAATTTGATATGAATTAGGTTTGATTAATGAAATTTAATTGATGATCCGCAAATAAATGAGTGAGTCGTATATAGTAAAAAACGAGGGAAAATTGACACAAAAATAGCTAATTGAGTACCTTTGCATGAAAAGTTGTACAGTGCCGGTCACAAGTACACATCCAATTGTTTCAATTTTAAAATTTTGATGATCTTTCCAAAATAAGCAATAA